TCAACAAAAGCATCCCAGATGGGACGGTGTTCAACGTTTAGACATTGTGACAACCAGTGGGCTTATTCGCAATATGGATGCCGCCTGTCCTCTCAAAGTACCGCTTTATCGTCTTTTCTCAAATGCTCACGCCACTCCATATAGGCTTTTTAAAATGGGAATTTTTGCTACGCCGCACTGCAAATTCTGTTTTCACGAAAAAGCTGATGAACATCACATCATTTGGGACTGTCCTCGTTTTAGCCCGTTACGGCAACAATGGCCTGACGAGCTAATGCAGCATCAGAATTGGCCTGCTTGCGCCACGACTGCTATGGTCTATACACTGGATATGGACCCTCAACTCAAGAGCAAGTGGCGCTCTTTCCAAAGACTTGTTGCTGAGCTTTTATTCCAATGGATGGAAATTAACCGCAACAGTGACCTATATGACTCACTTCCGCAGACCAATAGCAGTGAACCTGCACCGCCTGTGCCATTGCAGCAAAATGATTTCCCGCGACTCAAGCAAAAATCTTTCACAGCAAATTGTCATTTACTCCCTCTTAGCTGGAAACCACCTAGTAACAGAACGGCGCTTAATCGTTGGGGAGCCACTATGCAGGATTTCAACCTCATGTTTTCGTTCTGGTCCAGAGCTACGATTTGCGAATGTGAGGCTAGCGTTGCCGTGCGCACTTGGACGCAGGCTCTTGCTATCTTTATTCAAGTTGGGGGAGCTTGTGCTCCTTTTCTTGCTACTTGCCAGAATGTAGGCATGGCTGCGTATAAGTTCCGAGTTCTTTCCTCTTACGTCATCAAAGGGCAATGTGATGATGAGCAAATTCATGCTGTTTTTGATGCACCTGCTAGCAACATCAAATGGCTTAATTTTCTTCCCGCTGAGCTTCAATTCCCTGACGGAATGTGGTTTTCATGTGCCTGGGATCTTGCAGCAGTAGCCTGTAAAATTCATGATCTTTTTACGACTATCAGAATCAACACGGCTTGCAGCGCGCAAGCTATCAGAATTCCTACCCCTTCATTTATTGATGCCATCGCTAAAATGAAGCCTTTTCTTCATTCCACTGAGCTGTCTTCAAAGTGGACTGTGCCTAAATTTGCGAACAAAAGATCCCCGCCCGGCTGGATCACTTTGATCTATGATTTACGGCGTGCTCCCTCCGAGCAGCAACAAGTGGTCTCTTGTATTTCTTGTTTGCCTTTAGAGAACTGGGGTCAACTTAATGCTGAACAAATTCGCGCACTTCTTCCTGGAAGGCCAGGACCCAAAAAACGATTCAAAGCTGCCCTTGGGCGCTTCTCAAAGTTTCGAGCCGCGTTAGAATACGCGCATCAAATGCAACTGCTGGGGAACACGCAAAGACCCCACGTGATACAGCCTACTTGGAATGCAAATGAGCAGTGTTATTTTTGCTGCAAACTCTTGCAGTTCTCTGTTGAGCCACGAACTCTCATGAGAACTTGCCCACGGGCTACTGACCTTGCTGATTCGACCTACCGCGAGTGGCACAACTCTTTCGTTGCTATTGAGGCTTCTTTACAACGCATTCTTCACATCCTTTAAAGTATGAGTCTTGAATGATATTCTTGTGAGTGTACAAAACACTCTGTTTCACCTTCATCGCACAGACTTCGGTCCGCATACCCCCAAAACCCTGTTCTAATTATTAAGGCTCCTGCAGAAGGGCTAATGCAGCCAGGTCCTAGACGACCTGCGGCAGGACGACCGGCTCGAGATGGAGGTCCGCCAGCAGTGTGCGAAGGCCAGGCGCTTCATCTAGGACCCGGAGTAGGCCCTTATTTCCTTTTTTTCTAGGGTCTAGGTTCCCTTATACTCCCCTTAGAAGTCAAAACGGGCACTCTGTTTATTCCTAGGTGACTCCTGGGTCTCGGAATACAGGAGCCTGCTACTTCCCAAGACACATTGACATGAAAATTAGACAGGCCCTACACCTCCCTGGCTTCACTGGTCATTCCCGATCAAGTAGCGAACGTTTTCGTTTGACAGCTGATTGGAAGCCCCCCTAAACCCCAGAATGCGCTGAGACAATATTCTACTCCCCGAAACCCGAAGCCCCAATCTCTAAACCCCTCAAGGGCACACACACACACAGGAAGGGGGACTCTATGTATGACACATCAAGCCCCTACACCCTAAACCCTAAACCCTAAACCCTAAACCCTAAACCCTAAACCCTAAACCCTAAACCCTAAACCCTAAACCCTAAACCCTAAACCCTAAACCCTAGACCCTAAGCCCTAAACCCTAAACCCGAAGCTTGTCAAGGTGATCGCGACGATGCAAGGCGGACTTGACGATCTGTCTGCCTCGTTCAACACCAGCGGACTCAGTGAAGCAATGGAGTGTAGTTGACCTCAGCGCAAAACTTAGCAACGACGGTTAGTACTTGCTATGACCCATTAGGGAATGGGATAATTAGGTACCTTAAAACCTTCATGTGCGCCTATATACACATAATGTATAATGTATATATATATATATATATAAATCACCCTGTAAGGGATTATGTAGGGGAATATCATCTGAAACGTTTCTACTAGCAACACTTGGATGTATAGAAAGCCATGAGGACTGTGAATGAGGAAGTTGTGGCAGAATCATCTCAAGACTTCCGACCTACATCCCACAGCCTTAGTGAGCAAACCGGCCATCGCGCTGAATTCGTTAATTTGCTGCAGTTGCAACTTGCTGGTTGCTGACACATTCAGTCCAGCATTTGTTGTGAGTGCCGACAGTACTCTGCCAGTACTCTGCGTTTCGCGGATTAGCCGATGTTATCTCAAGGCCACTGATTGGCTTGACCAACTCCTTCCCCGAATGCCCTAAACCCTGTACCCTAAACCCTAAACTTTGCCTCCCCCTCCTCCCCCTCTAAGTGCCCCAAACCCTAGTCACGCAAAACCGGAAACGGTATGCGGTGAAGTGATGAAGCCAATCAGGCCTACAAGGCTCTTGCCGGAGACCCAAATGCCCCTGAAGTCGCGTTTAGGGTTTAGGGTCTGGGGTTTAGGGTTGAGGACTTTCGGATCCTTACTGTAAATTAAGGTTTCTGATGTCTGAATGAAGGTATACTGAGGAATAGATTCCTGAACAGCAGGGGCGTTGGGCTCTCTCGTTGCCCTCTGCAGAGAGGCGGCCGCGCCAGAAACAGGGCGGTGATCTGGGGGGTCCCTGTGCCCAAAGAGCCCCAAACCCCTGAATCAAGGAATGTACCTCAAATATGTTTTCTACGCAGATGGGGATCTTAGTATGGTTTCTAGCTGTGTTCCTTGATTTTGGGGGTATCGGGCTCTTTGGGTAGTTGGAGCAGGTTTATGGCATACTCGGAGGTTCAGAGTACTTAGTAACCAATTTGTAACTGTGCCCAGAACTGTACTTATAGCCATATTAGGACGCTTAAGGGTCTATAAGTACAGTTATAAGTACAGCTATCATTGGTTAGTAAGTACCTTGAACCTCCGATGATAAGCCCTGAACCCTAAACCCTAAACCCTTAACCCTTAACCCTTAAACCCTAAACCCTAAACCCTCAGTACCTTGAACCTCCAAGTAGGGTTTAGGGTTCAAGGCTTAGGGGCGAAATTCTTAGGCTGGAAACATGCATTTGGGGCAGCGTACATTAGCATTTAGTAGGGCTCTGGGGCAATAACTGATTGTGCTGACCCTAAACCCTCAACTCTAAACCCTAAACCCTAAATCCTGAACCGCCTTAAGCTCATAATAGGGGTCCTTATCATGATTTCAGGTCTAGTCCTTAGGGTTTAGGGTTTTAGGGGGGTTAGGGTTTGAGGGGCTTCAGGGTTTTTTTGTCGTGAATTCAGTTCAATCTACTAAACCGCTATACCCGACAACCTATACTCCTCCCCTACACCCTGGGTATCTTCGAATCCCTTTGCGGAGAAAGTTATTTGCAAGGGGGACTCGCTGATAAATGAGTTTAGGAACCTATGCAGCAGACTGGTCGTTTGGGGTTTTAGGGTTTAGGTTTCGGGTTACGCCCTAAACCCCAAGCCCTAATAAAACACACGCAGTTTAAGCCTTAAGCCCTGCACACTACAACCCAACCCTGCAGCCTTCAAATCCTGGGTTCGGTTAGGGTTCAGGGTTTCGGTTTAGGGTTTAGGGTTGAGGGTTTAGGGCTTAGGGTTTAGAACCCTCAACCCCACAAACCCCTCAACCCCTCGGCCCGCAGCTGAAAGCTCAAAAGAGTCTGGCAGGGGCTTGGATGGGAGAGCCACACGTAGCAAATTGAAATCCTAGGGCCGGCCTGTGCCTCAGAGGCGCGCGAGAGCGGGTTTAGGGCCTTCAGGGGTTTCGGGGGTGTAATCTCGGGTTTATGGGGCTTTAGTTAGGGGTTGCTTTTTGGGGGGGTTTAGGGTTTTGGGTCTTTGGGGGTTTAGTTCAGGTTTAGGGTCCAGGGCTGAGGGCCGCACGCATCTGGGTCGTGAAAATTGAAAGTCTCTTGTGATGCTTCTTAGAATCTGACACGTCAAGGTTTCGAGTTTCGGGGTCCACGAAGGAGGGAGTAGGGGGTTAAGATTTTGAGTTTTGGGTATCAGTGTGCAGGAGCGGGATAAAGGAGATTACCTGAGTTCATACCAAGATTTCATGTTTCGGGGATATTGGCAATGTGCAGGGATGAGTTTCCTTGCTTTGAAGAGGCCTATTATTTAGGATTGTGATTTAGTGTCCATGTCACATGAAGGTGCCACTCCATCATGCTCATAGGGGTCTTAAATAAGGGAGGGGGGGGTTCATGGGGGGTGGAAGTTTAGGGAGCCTTAGGGAGGACCCACCCCCTTGAAGCCACCCTCCCTTAAGACTCCATCATTCTGTCATGTCGACGTGCCATCTTTCGGGTGGATCTTGAACACCCCATTCATGACCTATGCTTCTGGGATAACCTTCAATTTTAAATCTTCAGCCCTAAGCCTTAAACACCAAGCCCTAAACCCAGTGCAGGTACAAGACAACCATGATGATGCCAGGGTTTATGATGGGTTACAACGAGACAGGCTGGGTCTGCCATGAGTTGTTGCAGCGCCTCTGTGTGTTGCACAGAGCTGTACCCACCCTGTGCTTGGAGGTTCATGGGTAGTTATAAGTAGGGTTATGAGAACCCTACACGGGTTTATAAGTATAGTGACCACAATTATAACACCACTTGAAACTACCCATGAACCTCCATGTATAGCCCTTTGATCAAGGTGTTCACCTTAAGTCACAACAAGGGGCCCTATATGGGTTACAAGTACTTGACTTCAGCCATGCTGGCAGTTGTGTGCTCCGTCCATGGCAAGAAGCGCAGCAGAGACGCCTCCTCGGAATTGCTGGCAGTGAACAGGGTTGGCTGTTCAGGAGCTTTAAGCGAAGTTGCCATAGAGTGGATATATAATAAATTTTGACAGGGTTGCCCTGAAGGAGCTTTTAAACCAAGTTCCTTGAGGGTGGGTATATAGTAAATAACACAGCATAGTTTCCGGAGTATACAGCTCCAGAAGCAGCAGCCCAGTGTGAGAAGCATGCTTGGCTCAGGAACATCTGGGGATTCTTTGAATTATGGGCCTTTTTTGGGTAATCCTACAAACCGCAACCCCCAAACCCCCAACCCGGTAGGAACCCCGAATCAAAAAATCTTATGCCTCTACCCCTTCCAAATCCTTGCCGCAGTGTGTCTTACGTGCTGTACCATCCACCACCCCCACCCCCTCCCCACCCCTCCCCGCACCCCCCCCCCACCCCCCCCCCCCCCCCCCCTCCCAAAAAAAAGCCCTAAACCCTAAACCCCCAACCCCTAACCCCCTCAGCCCTAACCCCTAACCCCGCTAATCAGCGGAACCCTAAACCCTAAACCCTAAACCCTAAACCCTAAACCCTAAACCCTAAACCCTAAACCCTAAACCCCCTTGGACCGCCGAGGATGCGATGATGGACGACGGGGTGGGCGGCTTCACCTGCCAGCCGGGCAAAGAGTGCAAGGCCTGGGCGTTTAGGGTTTAGGGTTTAGGGTTTAGGGTTTAGGGTTTAGGCTTTAGGCTTTAGGCTTTAGGCTTTAGGCTTTAGGCTTCAGGGTTCAGGGTTTAGGGTTTAGGGTCAGGAGGGGTTTAAGTATAGGGTCAGGAGTGATTTAAGTAGGCTTAGGGTTAGTGGGTTTTAGGGTTTAGGGCCTGTAAAGTGGCTTAGGTAGAGTTTAGGGTTTAGGAGTCCGGAGGGCTTGGGTTCAGTAGAGGAAAAAAGTAGGGTTTAAGTAGGGTTTAAAGCAGGGTTTAGCTAGGGTCGGTCTGTAGGGCCCTAAATCCCTAAACATCAGACCTCGTGGAGTGTGTGGCTCTACCGCAGGTGGCTGGGAACACGAAGCACGTTCCCTGCGCGTTCTTTCAGGCCCGGTGTGGCAGGTCCAGTATCGAAAGGGTTTTGAGTTTAGCGGGATTAAAGTCCCTGTTGTAGCCCTTGCAAAAGGAATTATGGCTGATCCCAAAATCTCTACTCATACCAAGAACTGGTGAGTCCTAAACCCTAAACCTGAAACTCGCAGGCTGGCAAATGCACAAAAGGAGAGAATTGCAACTCCGCGGCAGATCAGTTTGCCTTGCCAGGGGGCAGTTTCCCGAGCCTGATCCCACTGTGCTAGAGGGTTTAGGGTTGCAAAAGGGTTTACGGTTTGGTTCTAAGTAAACCGCAGCTGAGGCAACTTCTCTCATGATCCGAACGCCATAGCGGCCGCTAGCGCCGCGAGTGCCGGTGGTGCTTGGGGCGGAGGTGCTGATGCATGGGGCCAGGACGCATGCAACTTGTTTCCTCATGTAGTCTCATGAGCCTAAGTTATGGGTCATTTCGGGGGTACCTTCTAGACAAGGCTCCGTATTAGAATAGGGTCTCCAAAAGGGACCATAATTTAGGGAACCCCCATGTGCTTGCGAGAAGACGAGTGTCCGTCATTGACTTACAGCTGTGACAGTGAATACCAATGGCAGCCAGTGCCGCTGGTGGCAGCCCTATATAGTTTCAAGGCAGGAAATAGCTTAAGTGAGGGGTCGGCTACGCATTGACGGGGTTGTCCAACCCTAAGACCCAAAACCCAGACTTCTGATGCTTGTTGCCTCAGAGGTGCTATTGAGGCGGTTGTTGCGGGGGGTGCGGGGTTCACTTTCGCTTTCCTGTAAACCGGAGGTCAAACTCTAAACCCCAAATCCTAAATAAAAACCCTAGTTGTAATGCTACTAAAAGTGCCAACTTTATTACTGGATGTTTTGTTGTACAGTTCTTATCGAATGTATTTTAAGGCGTCGCTTGCTGCTGGACGACATGTACAAGATTAAAGATTTAATATTTGTAAGGGAAAATTCTAAATTATTAAGCAAAAGCCTCCATGAAATAATATCATTTTTTGTAAGCGTGCGAAGAGAGAACGAAACCACCAACTCGTTTCATTAGTTTGTTCACTACGTTGGTTTACTCACTTCATGCATTCACGCGCTCATTAAAATCACGCATGAATCCATTCGTTCAACGCTCCGTTCGGAAACCCTTAAGACCATATGCCCTTCAACCTGAACCCTTAAAACCCTAAACTCCATAATGTAGTCCTAAACCGTAAACCCTAAACCCTAAACCCTAAACCCTAATTCTTAACCCTAAACCCCGCTACAAGGCAGCCCAGCAGGATCCTGTTACGCTCCCTCCCGCAGGATGCCGGCAAAGGTTGGGACAGCTCCGGCTGGGGAGGTTACGGAGGCTCCGGCTACGGCTCCTACGGCCCCAAAGGTGCCACCTGGCGTGAAGCTTGCGGCAGGGCCCTAAACCCAAACCCTAAACCCTAAACCCTGAACCCTACTTGAAGAGCCTGAGGCCCTTGACCCAGAACTCATGGATCCTAAGCCCTCACTCGAGCCGAATGCCGAGGGGTGGTACTCGTCCAAAGGGATGGGGATGATGATGGCAGCCAAAGGCATGGGTAAGTACGGCCCGGGCCTCAGAATTTGCGGTGTAGGCTTGGGGGTTTAGGGTGGGGTTTGGGGTTTAGGGTTTAGGGTTTAGGGTGTAGGGTTTAGGGTTTGGGGTTTAGGGTTTAGGGTTTAGGAGCGGTGCATGTCTGGCGCTTTGTGTACAAATGCTAGAAGTGATCTGAAACAGGGGTGCCATGCCTATTATGAAATCTAATGGTAGTTCCATGGGCCCTTACTATTGGTCCCAGACCCTCATTAACTGGAGGTTTACGTTAAGGGAACCCTAAAATAGACCCCACATAGCAAGATTCCCTTACAATAAGGACCCCAAAACGGTTCCCCTAATTTCGGAAACCCCCAACTGGGGTTAGGGTCCTAAACCCTAAATCTCTCCAGGCCCCTATATTACCTCCCTAAACCCTAAATCCTAAACCCTACACCCTAAACCCGAAAGGGTTTAGGGTCTAGGGTCTACCGACTCGAAGGCAAGTCGATGAAAGGCTACGGCGGCGGCTACGAGAAGGGCGGAGGCCGCGACGTCATCGCTGGCTCAGGGTTTAGGGTTTAGGGTTTAGGGTTTAGGGTTTAGGGTTTAGGGTTTAGGGTCCCAATCCCGCACGAGTTGTCTGACGACCTAAAGCCCTCCGTACTTGCATGCTACACGTCACTTCCTCACGAACCCGAGCTGAACCCAAACCCTAAACCCTAAACCCTAAACCCTAAAACTCAGCCGATCCTTGGCAGATCTAAACCCAAACCATAAGCCTGCCCTGGACTCGGAGGCACCTTCCTCTGCTCCGTGCACAAGAAGAATAGAAGTGCAAGTGCAGCAGCCTGGACTAGCTTCAGGATGTGCAGTGTCGGGTTCAGGATTTAGGATCCCCTAACCCTAAACCCTAAACCCTAAACGCTAAACCCTAAACCCTATATAAACCCTAGACCCTAAACCCCAAAACTGGGCCGCCCATTTTTGGGATCCGTTGGCAAGGGATGATACTATGTGTGGGGTATATAGGGGGTACTCGTACCCTACTAAGGGCGATTGTAGGGTCCATCGGCTTTAGGGCTGCCCGCAGTAGCTGCCCGTAGACCTTTACGTTGGGGATATAGACGAAACCCGAAACCCTGAACCCGAAACCCTGAACCCGAAACCCTGAACCCTAAACCCTGAACCCTAAACCCTCAGCCCTAAACCCTCAACCCTAAACCTTCGGGTCCTGGGGCTTCACTTGGGGGGGGCTAAGGTCATCGAGATTGCTCCTGGGCAGTATCAATGCCGGCCTTGCACTCAGTTGTGGAGGTTTAGGGTTTAGGGTTTAGGGTTTAGGGTTTAGGTTTGAGGGTTGAGGGTTCAGGGTTTAATTTGCAGGGCTTAGGGTTTATAGAGTTTAGGGCTCATAGGCTTCATGGGGTTCATAGGGGTCAGAGGGTTTAGAGGGTTCAGGTCGGATCCCTAAACCCTAGACCCTAAACCCTAAACCCCTGCTGCCCTTACCCCCAAGGTCCCCTCAAGTTACTTCAGGACTATGAAGTTAGGGTCTGGATTCAGGATTTAGAGTTTAGGATTTGCCACGATACGGTGGATGGAGGAAATCTTGCACCGCCTTTGACCTTGTTGCTAGAGGCTGCGCCTACTTCTGGAGACTGTGGATGGATGAAGGTACTGTCTTGGGACTGTTATCAGTAGGGAAAGGTACTGTCAGGGAGGCAATAATCCGAGAACTAGTGCACTACTAGCATTACCTGGAAAGGGTCTCAAGGGCGGGGAAAGGATGACCGTGTCGATGGTAAACCCTAAACCCTAAACCCTAAACTCTAAACCCTAAACCCTTGGGGCTTGTGCCTCCAACCACTCAGTAGCTGAGTGAGCACAATTTACACTTTTGGGGGTACTACAATCCCCTTTTGAACTGAAGGCGTGCACTTTTTGGGGCTTGTGAACTCAGCAACTAAGAACACTACACACGGAATCCGAACCGCCTCCCCCCTCAACCCAGAAAACCTACCCCCTCAACACTCGTTAGTTTCTATCCTGGCCCTCTTGAATCCCTACGCCCCAAAACCCCGAACCCTAAAATCTGAAAACTCTAAACCCTAGACCCTAAACCCTAAACCCTAGACCCTAGACCCTAAACCCCATAACCTTCTGCCCCCCATCCTCCATCCCAGGCCAGACTCGGAGTGCAAAGGCGCTGGTGGCGCAAGCCTCGGGGCCAAATTCAGGACATGACCTTCAGTTTGAGGGGTTTGAGGGTGCAGGGTGCCGCAAGCCTTAAACCCTAAACCTTACGAAGCCCTCAATCCTAAGCCCTAGGCCCTAAGCGCTAAACTGCCCTCAACCAACCCCAAAACCGAGTTAGCGTATAAAACCCCCTCCCAAGTCAATTCTGAACCCTGGTTTGGGTAGTTAGGGTTTAGGGTTTAGGGTTTAGGGTTAGGGTTTAGGGTTTAGGGTTTAGGGTTTAGGGTTTAGGGTTTAGGGTTTAGGGTTTAGGGTTTAGGGTTTAGGGTCTAGGGTTTAGGGTTTAGGGTTCAGGGTTTAGAGTTAAGGGTTTAGGGTTTAGGGCTAGGGTTTCGGGTTCAGCTTTGGTCTTTGTTTCGGGCTTGAGTGAGAGATAGACTGAGGGTTGCGGAGTTCAGCGCTTGCGGTTCAGTCAGGGTCTTATACCCCTGAATCAAGGATGCACCTTAAGTCACAATACAGGGCCCTTTTCTGGTGATTTCTCTAAATTATAATCCCTTTTGGTGTCCTTATTATAAGGCGCCCCGTCTGATTTAGGGTACTTTAAAAGGGACCATAATTTAGAGAACTGACCGTATGGTTTAAGGTAGGTTCCTTAATTAAGGGGCCATTAAGGGGTATTGCGCTCTCTGGGGGGACGCGGGTGTTGAGGTAGCACTTGTGAACATTAAGGGGCAAAAGGAGACACCCCTACAACGGACCCTTGATCTTGTTCCCCCTACATAATCCCTATATGTACACCTCGCATACCTGTATACCGAAGTAGCCCCTAAAAAGCCCCTAAAGAACCCAGAAGGTCCCTTATAAGGGTCCCTCCTTGAGTCCCTTGATACCCCAATCAGGGTTTAGGGTTTAGGGTTTAGCGTTTAGGGTTTAGCCCCCAATTAACCCCAAAGGCCCCCTATAGGGGTCCCTCCTTTAGTCCCTTGAGAGCATCAGCCAAGGCAAAGTAAAGACGGCCATGTGCAAGTTCCACATGACGCTTGGACGTGGAGAGTCGTGCTTGGAGGTTCATGGGTAGGTATAAGTAGGGTTATAAGTAGGGTTATAAGTAGGGTTATAAGTAGGGTTTAGGGTTTAGGGTTTAGGGTTTAGGGTTTAGGGTTTAGGGTTTAGGGTTAAGTAACTATACTTCTAAAACCCTACTTCTACCCGCCCATGAACCTCCAAGTGGTCAGTTGTGCATGCAGGCTGTGTCTTGGGTTTCGGCTGTGTGCAGGCCTCGTTGCACATGTCCTGGCAGCCAAGGGAAGCCCTGAACCCTAAACCTAAACCCCAAACCCCAAACCCCAAACCCTAAACCCTAAACCTTAAGACTCTGTGTGCAGCCAAGGGAAGGCAGGTGCACCAAAGGTTATACCTGCAACTTCGCCCACGGTCCGGAAGAGCTAGGCATGCCAGTTCCCGAAATGGCAGGCCGCGGCAGCCTCCTTCACACCAAAGAGCCCAATACCCCGTTTAGGGTTTAGGGTTTATGGTTTAGGGTTTAGGGTTTAGGGTTTAGGGTTTAGGGTTTAGGGTTTAGGGTTTAGGGTTTAAGGAATATACCTTAAACCATTATAGGGATCCTTAGTATGACTTAAGGTATACGATTCCTTAAACGAAGGGGTTTTGGGCTCTTTGTGGACATGCTTTTGGTGTGACACCAGTAGGGCTTGAGTCTATCTCGCGTGCTACGCTACGGTGACAACGGCAGGTGCCGAAATGAACGGAATGGCCCTGAACCCTAAACCCTAAACCCTACCCTCTAAACCCTGAACCCTAAAAGCAGGTGCCGAGATGAACGGAATGGCCGGAATTCCCGGAGTGAACGGCGTGCCCGGCGTCGATGTGTCCGGAGTCGCCGGGGTCGCCGGAGTGCCGGGAGCGGCAGAGGCTCCTTGGGTTTAGGGTTTAGGGTTTAGGGTTTAGGGTTTAGGGTTTAGGGCTAGCCCAGTGGTATCCTTTACCCTTTTTTTTTGGTTCAAGGTTTCCCTTATACAGTAACCAACCCCCCAAAAAAGGGGGTGCCCTGATCATGAAATGGTTCCTGGGCCACTAAGGTTCCGACGATGCCGACTCTTGGGGACTCGGTGTGGTAACCCTTGTTTTTTGTTTGTTAAACCTTTTTTTTGGGTTTTTTCATCCTAGTTTCTACAAAAAGGTAGGTAGCCTTTTTGCCGTTTTTTGGGGGGTCTTTTAAATCCTACAAGATATACAGGGTTAACCTTTTTTTGGGGGCTGGCGTATTCATCCCCTAAGGACTGAACTGACTGGCCAAGCTGCCCAAAGTCGTTCTTCGCCTGCATGCCAGCGCAGTTTCTTTCTTCTTGCACCCGGCCCCTCAACCTCCAGCGAGAAACCCCAAATGAGCCCAAACCCGGGATGCATGTCATGTGTCTCCCACTGAGGTTTCTCGCCGTGGCGTGCCGGGGAATGGCAGACTTGTTGTGCTTTTTCTTTGCTGGTTGCGGTTGAAGGCTTAGAGTTTAGGGTTCAGGGTTGACGGTTTAGGGCTGGCCAGTGCCAAGGTACTGAAGATGCAGTATGAGGAGCCAGGTGCCACTGGCCGAATCAGTAGTGTGTCACTCCGGATCACTCCGGTGCTTTGCTTGTCGCAACCGTGCGGCAGGCACGGAACCCATTAAACTAAAAGAAACAGGACGCCAGTCACGCTGGGCCGAAGCCTTTGTGTTTTCGGATCCTCTGCAAAGGCTGCTCCAACTTGTCTGTTCCGGCAGCTTTGCAAGAGCGTTGCAATATAGACGCCGGATCGGTAGACGGATGGCAGCCACTAATTTTGCCAACGCGGAATATGTGAGCTGGTGGCATAAGCCCCCGTTGTGTTATGGCCAGTTTCTGCGATTTCTGAGAGACTGAAAACAGAACTGGCCCGGTATGGAGCCGCAAGAAAGGGTCTTGCGAGTTCGTAATTTGTACACAGCATCCTTCGACCCACTCGGGGCTTAAGTTTCAATACACTCAATACACGCACTCGTTTGAACAGGACAGGTGAGATGGGTGAAGGGGATGCGCCTCTGCGGTTGATGTGCTGAATATAGCTGAATCCTGCACACTTTTTTCATCCACTCAAGGCGCTTCACTCAGGTCCACGCAGGGTTTCGAGCATCAACAACAGTAGTATCATTCGCAAAACCGGTTGCCAGTGCTCTGCTCAGCATAGCAGGCGTCAGTGATCGGAAAACAGACCCCTGCATGCCTGCTTGAAGTGCACATGTCTGTCTTGTGCTTGCAGCCCTCGCCCTAAACCCTAAACCCGAAACCCTAAACCCGAAACCCTAAACCCGAAACCCTAAACCTTACAGCTGGCCTGCATCGCCGCAAGGTTTTAAGGCCGAAGCAGGAGGTTTAGTTGTCATCTGGGCGTCCTCCATGGACCCTCGTGGGTATGGCTACCAGGCCCGCTGCCACTTCTTGGCAGCGCCCGAAGCCCTAAACCCTAAACCCTAAATCCTGAACCCTAAACCCTAAACCGTAAACCCTAAACCCTAAACCCCATGCTCTTCAACCCTAAACCCTACCTTAAACAACCCGAAACCACCTAAACCCTAAGCCGCCTAAACCCCAAACTTTTCTCACGTCCAGACAGGGGGACCCTACCTTAAGCCCCTAAACCCTAAACCCTAAACCCTAACCCTAAACCCTAAACCCTAAACCCCAAACCCTAACCCCTAACCCCTAAACCCTAAACCCTAAACCCTAAACCCTAAACCCTAAACCCTAAACCTTAAACCCTAAACCCTAAACCCTAAGCCGCCTCAGGGGGACAAAGTTTTACGTCTTCTACTGGGAGGGCAAGGACCATGACGGGATCGACCTGAGCAGCCTGAAATCCTGCAGGACGGGGCTTAGGGCAAGGTTTAGGGCCCGGAGCCCTAAACCCTAAACCCCAAACCCCAAACCCCAAACCCCAAACCCCAAACCCTACACCCTAAAACCTAGGGGCTAGGGTTGAGAGCCCGAGTAAAACCACTTCGAGTTTGGGTGTTTAGGGGCTTTGGGGTTTCTGGCTTAAAGGCGGCGAGGGCTTTTAAACTCCAAACCTTATTGGGGCTAAGAGGCTTCGGAGGTGGTTGGGAGATTGAGGGTTTCTGTTGGGCTTTGGTGTCCAAGAAGCTTGCTCGCCTCTGAAGTAGGCATGTGTTCTCTGCTCATTGGATCAATAGGGTCCAGGGTTTAGGTGTTAGGGTTTAGGGCTTATTTTTGCACGTTACTGGTATTCAGTGCTGAGCAGTTTCGAATCCTGGGCTCTCAGCTGTGTTTTTCTTATATCCCATTCTAAGCAGCAATGCTGTAAACCGGGTGATGGCGAGCTAAGTTCAACAGAATTTCCGGCAAACTGATACTCCCTTAAGGTGCTCAGGTGCTGGGTGAGTAACCTTTAACCTTTTGGGGTAGAAAAAAACCCCTTAGGGTTTAGGGTTTAGGGTTTAGGGTTTCGGGTTTTTTTCAAGGGAGCTCAGCACCTAAGGATGGGATTGTCTTTGGGCTTGTGGGTTGGAGCTTTCATGTAGCTTGCCCTTCAACCCCAACCCCTGAACACTACTTGGAGGTTCCTGGGTACTTATACCCCCAGTTCTAAGTCTACTCAGGGGGCTTCTAAGTGCTGTTATAACTGGGGTCATAAGTACCCACGAAGTGTAGACCCCAAACCCCAAGCCCCAAGCTCTAAACCCTAAGCTGCCGTAGGGAGTCAGCATTTTGGTGTAACTGGCAGCTTAGCGCTACTCTCAACCCAAGATCCTGAACGTCAAGCCCCAAACCCCCAAACCCAAAGCCGAAAACCCCAAAACCCAAAACCCCAAAACCCAAAACCCTAAAACCCCAAAACCCCAAAACCCCAAAACCCGAAACTCCAAACCCCAAACCCAAAACCCAACACCCAAAACCCAAAACCCCAAACCCAACACCCAAAACCCAAAGCCCAAAACCCTAGCCGAAACCCCAAACCCGAAACAGTGCTGCCTGGCAGTTCTTGTGGGAAGCTTAGAGATCCCTGGCGGTTCCGGCTGGACAATGTGCAGGCAGAGCTCCGCCCTATTGGATTAGCGTTTAGGGTTTAGGGTTCAGTTGGGGTTTAGGGTTTAGGGTTTTTGGTTTTGGGTTTAGGGTTTTGGGTTTAGGGTTTAGGGTGTAGGGTTTAGGGTTGTTTGGTTTAGGGTGTTAAGCGTTACGGTACAGTGGGTTAGTTTTAGGCTGCAAGGGTTTTTAGGTTTGAGAGCTTTGAGTTTGGAGGTTTTAGGGTCCAGGCAGCACCCTTTGATTCGCGAGAGTAGACTAGGACTCGTATCAGGGCCCCCTCCCAAGTACTTGAAGGTCCATTCCCTAAAGCCTAAGCCCTAAAAACCCTAAGCCCAAATTAATGGGCCCTGACTGAGGGGCATGAGATCTCCCAATCAGCAGCGGCCATTGGTTTGTTGATCATACGGTTTGAGAGGCCAGTACCCTTTAAGCCAGTGCAGCGAGCCAGTACCCTGCCAGATAAGATGTAGATAGAAATCAAACCTCCGCTTTTGGCGTCAGTACTGTGCAGGGGTTGTGCTGGCTGAAATCATACCTGCTATGGTAAGTGTCTCAGGGTAGTTCCATGGTTCCTTAGCATGGGGCCTTAAAGAAACCCCTTATATACCAAGGGCCCATACTTCAGAATCCTTCAAAGAAGGTAAGGGACCAGAAAAGGAACCATGCAACGACCCTTAGAAAGTGATACTATACAAGGAAGAGTGTGAGCTGAACCCGCAAAACGTCCGGCATGTCCAGGACTCATCAAACATTCCAAGCACATTCAGGCCGAATCCAAACAACCTCTGCGTCCCCTCCTGGGTCGATAACTTATAACCGCCAAGCTGGCAGAACCCTCAGGTTTCGGGCTTGGGCCCCTACACCCGCCGGATGTGGCCTTGTGGTGTCTAAGGGTAATTGCATGGGCCCTTAATGTGACCCCTTACCTCCCTTATTGGGTTGTGATGTATGGGCCGCTCTGAACTAAGGGCCCATACTAAGGGACCATGTAACCCTAAACCCAAAACCCTAAACCCTAAACCTAAACCCTAAACCCTAAACCCTAAAACCCTAAACCCTAAACCCTAAACCCTACGACCCTTAGATGGTGACTCAGCTGAGTGCTTCGATGTCGTTTATCTTTGGCTCAGGCTTGCCTCCGGTCCTGCACCAAGGTGGGGGGTTTCCGAAATTGGGTTTAGGGTTTAGGGTTTAGGGCTTAGGGCTTAGGGCTTAGGGCTTAGGGTTTAGGGTTTAGGAGAACTACCTTCTTGTGGTCCTTCGTTACAAGGAGATCCTACTATTTGGGCTGTTCTATATGGTCAAGCGGACCTCGTTTCTGGGCTGATGGTTGAGGAACGTTGGCCATCTCCAGACCTACAAGAAGAGGTCGCCCCCTTACTATGCTAACCCGCCAAGGCGTAAGGGGCTGAAAAGAAAGAGAGACAATTTCGACACGTCTGGCTATGCCCCAAGGTAGGGCCCTCGTCGTGTTACTTGTAACTGGGGCCCTCCTTTCAGGGGTTGTGCGCAGGGACATGAAGGGATTCACGAACAAGCGACAGGGCCTTGATTGAGTGCGGTCCCAATTTGGCCAGAGAAAGTGCCTCAGCTTCTGTCACATGGCCAGATGTCCGTTATCAACCCTAAACCCTAAACTTTAAACTTTAAGCCCTATATCCTAAACCCTGAACCCTAAACCCTAAGCCCTAAGCCCTAAACCCTAAACCCCAAACCCAAAACCCTAAACCCTAACCCCACCCCCTGCCCCTACACCGTACACACTGGGAGGAAGGCGAGATCTTTCGCGAGGAGGTCGCCGAGTTCTGGTGCGTCTCGCCCTGCAGCCTGGATGCACGTTGCCCAGAGAGCCCTCCCCATCATTAAGGGTTTACGGTTTTGGGGTTTAGGGTTTGGGGTTTAGGGTTTAGGGTTTAGGGTTTAGGGCAACTCATATGAAGAATCCCGTGTGGGGTTTAGGTTTGGGGTTTAAGGTTTAGGGTTTAGGGTTTAGGGTTTAGGGGTTCCGACATGTGCACTGCAAGGGAGTGGGAGGGCCAAGCTCTTGCGACCCCGCCGATGAAAGGCAGTATCTTAGGGTCCCTTAGTGTTTTGGGTTTAGGGTTTAGATGGTCCCTTAGTATTCCGGCTAAAAGGAAGGACCCCTTGAAGGGACCCTTAATCTTATTCCCCTATATGATCCCTACATATACCTTCCATAATCCGTATGTACCTAAGTAGCCCTACATAGCCCCTTAGATAACCCCTAAGGTCCATTATAAGGGCCCCTCCTGTAGCCCCTTGAAAGCAAGAGGCCCCCGAACAGGGACCGCGGATGTAGGGTTTATGGTGCGAGGCTTTGATACCCCAGATTGTGTCAAACCCCTCCTCGAAGTCTGTTTGATACAAGCGATGCTGGGAGGTTAGGGTTCAGGCTTCAGGTTTCAGTCAGGGTTTAGGGTTTAGGTCCTAGTTTAGGGGTAGGGTTATGAGTAGCCTAAATAGGCTTATACCTATCTACAACGCTACTTAGAACTGCCCATGAACCTCCAAGTGGTGGCACCGCAGAGTTCTGGGGTGATTCGTTCTTCTGATATCCAGACCCCCCAGGAAGGATCCAAAAGGGTTTAGGGTTTAGGGTTTAGGGGTTAGGGTTTAGGGTTTAGGGTTCCCAGACCCCCGGAAGGCTCCAAGAAGTAGATCCCCTTAAGGGTCCCTAAGAATGACCCACTAGTTGAATAGGGTACTATTTGGGGATTCTATTTTGTGGATCCTGCCAGGGGTCTGGGTATGTGCTGGAGTGGAGAGTGTCCTCAGGCAGGCAACACCAAACCAACCGAACTCGCAAGTGGTGAAGCTAGTTTAGGGTTTAGGGTTTAGGGTTTAGGGTTTAGGGTTTAGGGTTTAGGGTTTAGGGTTTAGGGTGTCTCCCAGGGACCATCGTCTCCTACAACCTCGCAAAGTTCGCCGCCTACTTGTCGAAGAGGAGGACCAAGGCCGATCACAAGTTGCGAACTTCGCGAGGCTGCCTGCTACCTCATAGTGTAGGGCGTAGACTGCCCTAAACCCTAAACCCTAAGCCCTAAGCCCTAAGCCCTAAACCCTAAACCCTAAGCCCTAAATGTCTGTTCTTAGTAGTCATCAAAAAGCGCTGGTGTGGGGTTGGGTTGGTCGTGTGGGTTTAGGGTTTTGGGTTTAGGGTTTAGGGTTTAGGGTTTAGGGTTTTGGGTTTAGGGTTTAGGAGTGAGTGAAGGGTCTTGCCATCGGCGCATACGGTACAATGCGCCAGTGCGGCTGCAGTTTGCGAGTTGGTTCCCGACCTCCTCCTCGTAGACACGTGTTCCCCCCTTACCCAGAGACCCCAAGACCCCTATATTCTTTAATCCCTATTATAGTTTAAGGAATATTCCTTCATGAAAATGTCTTGGAGTCCCTGGGCGGAGACAATAGGGCCTCTAGGGTTCGGGTTAGGGTTTAGGGGCCCTAAACCCTAACCCTAAACCCTAAACCCTAAACCCTAAACCCTAAACCCTAAACCCTAAACCCTAAACCCTAAACCCTAAACCCTAAACCCTAAACCCTAAACCCTAAACCCCAACTTCCTGCGAGGCACTCACAGAGGCTGTGGTTCTCGGCACGGCCATGTCCATGTATCAAGGCGCCAGCCATGGCATTGCTCGGCAGTTGCATTGCTTTTCGAGTGCAAACCCTAGGTTCTGAACCCTAAACCCGAAACCCTAAACCCTCAACCCTAAACCCTAAACCCTAAACCCTAAACCCTAAATCCTAGGTTAAAATCCCGAAGCCAACAGCCCTACAGCATGTCTCGTGGCAGATGCTGGCAGGGGCCCCGCAGAAACTTGACTCTGGCGCGCCGATCTGAGTTGAAGATTTCAATGTCCCTGTTGGCAGTTTCAGCATCTCTACATGCCCCTAAACCCCAAACCCTAAACCCTAAACCCTAAACCCTAAACCCTAAACCCTAAACCCCAAACCCTAAACCCCAAACCCTAAACCCCAAACCCTAAACCCTAGACCCCACTCCCGAAACCTGAAGTGAAAGTGCTTTCCGCGCGACTTGCTGAGGTCTGGGTGGAGGGTTTCGGCCCGCGGCTCGGAAGTCTACTTGGTGGTTCATGGCACTTACTAACCAATTATAACTGTACTTAGAACCCCACTTATAATACCCCTAAAGGGCCTTATAGGGGTTATCCCGATTATAAGTAGGGTTATAAGCCCAGTTCTAAGTGGCTATTAAGTCCCATGAACCTCCAGGGGGCCGAGGGCTGGGGACCCCATTTCTTTTAGTTGTTAGTTTTGTTGTTGGTTGTTTTGGCGCTGTTTTCTAGGAAAATACCACTTTTTCGCCATGTCCATCAGTATGTGCAAGATTTTCCCTTGCATGTAGAGAGAAGACCTCTCTTTACAGGGTTTTCGTGGGTTTTACTAGACCGCAAAACCTCCGAGTGAACAGAGGTTTTCCTTTTTCAACGGTAAAGCAACTTAAGCATGTACGTATGCAACAGCGAAATTTGAATGGAAACTGACGGTTTCTCTAGCGAAAATCGAGGTTTCTCGAAAAAAGGCCCATTAAAACGCTAAAAAAGGTTCCTCTCTTCATGTAGACGAATCTTAGCAATATTTACAGGTTTTCCTAGGAAAGAGCCAGCAACATTGCCCCTGCTATGCTAGTATCCTAATCCTAAACCCTAAACCCTAAACCCCTAACCCCTCAACCCTAAACCCTAAACCCTAAACCCTAAACCCTAAACCCTAAACCCTAAACCCTAAACCCTAAACCCTAAACCCTAAACCCTAAACCCTACACCACAAATCTAAACCAGGCCACCACATGTCCTGGCAGAGTTGGCTCTCGTGGAGGGCCGGGAACATCAGGTCCCGGGCGCAGAGGAACGGCAAGAAGCCTGGGACTTGGAGAAGGGATGAACAGAACTTTAGGAGTCAAGGCTTTGGGGTTTGGGGTTTGGGGTTTGGGGTTTAGGGTTTAGGGTTTAGGGTTTAGGGTTTAGGGTTTAGGGTTTAGGGTAACAGGACTTTAGGAGTCAGGGCTTTCTCGGTTTTTTTTGGCTTTAGGGCGTAGCGTGAAGCCCTAAGCCCTAAACCCTAAACCCTGAACCCTGAACCCTAAACCCAAATATTCGGAAACCCCCATATTTGTGCTTGTCAAGGCGAGCTAGAAGGCTTGCTGTCCAACATCTTTGGGATTAGGGTCTAGGGTTTCAGGGTTTAGGGTTTAGGGTTTAGGCATCATTACGAACATCACGATCACTTTCACCACGAACCTCTCAGTGCGGGTTGGTCGTGACTTCCTCTGCGAGTATTGGAAGAGGAATCTGCAGCATGTGACGCACCTCGTACAAGAGTGTCCCGAAAAAAATGCGTCTTGACTCTCTGAAAACACTTATCGAATATACCAGAGAACATACGTCCACTTATCAACCCAGACGTCATTTGCGCTCAGCTCCCAAATCCCCTACAGACACATTGCCGCTTGACATTGCTGCACCACATGAAATGAGGCATACACGTGATCCCAAAAGGCAACCCCCCCTCGCCCCCCCCCCCCCCCCCCCCCCCCCCCCCCCCCCCCCCCCCCCCTCCCCCCTCCGTATGTAGACCCAGTGACACAATGACACCCACTAAACCTTAACAAATAAGACCTGAACCCTCAACCCTGAACCCTAAGCCCTAAAACCTAAGCTGCTCAGGTGTGTCGTCATGCACTTGGATGGGGCGGGTGATGAGCTCCTGAACCATCCAATGCCTTCGCCGGCCGAGCAGGTGGGTTTAGGCGTTTGAGGTTTTAGGGTAGGGGCTTTGGAGTTTGGAGTTTTGGGGTTTGGAGGATTTGGGGCTTGGGGTTTTGGGGTTTTAGGGTTTTTAGGGTTTTGGGTTGTGGGTTTTGGGTGTTGGCTAGAAGCCCCCCAAGCAGGGGCAAGCCTCTTTAGCCGCTACCTGACAGGAGATCCTAAACCCCAACTCCTTTACCCTAGTTAAATCCGAAACCCTAAACCCTCAAGGAGATCGAGTCTGTCATTTTCATCCTCGGTGGCCCTGATGGCATCAAGCCGGGTGTTGCCCGAGAGCTGCATCATATTCTGCTCGTGACTCAGGTCCTCTTAGACATGGGCCCTGGGTTCTTAGGGTAGTGATATGGTCTCATTTAGGGTTCAGGGGTACTCGTAGTTTCATGGGCCCTGAATATGGTTCCGAAAAAGGTTCTGATGTATGGGCCCTTAATGTATAGAGAGTATATACCGGGTATATACGGGGTCCCCTTTCAAGGGCCCATACTAAGGGACCATGTATCTACCCTAAGAGCCCTTGTTGCTGGGTTGCTGTTGAGGAGCGTGCCTAAGTTATCATATTCCGGAAGCACACGCTCTACAAGATATATATATATATAGAAATGTCCCCAATTTGATGTCTTTCTTGAAGTCATCTGACAGCAATCCAGATGGCAGATGACTTCCCTGCCACGCCGCCCAGATACGGGGGGTTTAATGATGACTCGTAGGGTCGTCATTTCCTAGGTAGGATAAGGGGGACCCTGAAAAGGGAACCCTTCTGAACCCTCTTCTGGCTCTCTTACACAGGGACCTTATTCAGAGGGTCCGTATCCCCAAGGCCCAAGAGTCCCCCTAATCCTATCCCCTATCATTCACATGGATCGCTTGAGTTTGCCTCATGTCCACGGTAGACTTAAAGCCCTAAGCCATAAGGCCTAAACTTTGACCTGAGCATGAAATACCCGAACAGAGACATGGAGGCCAAACCCCAAACCCTAAACCCTAAACCCTAAACCCTAAACCCTAAACCCTAAACCCTAAACCCTAAACCCTAAACCCTAAACCCTAAACCCTAAACCCTAAACCCCTTGACCTCCGAGGTCACAGAAATCGCACGCCTACCTGAAGGTGCGCCTGCCTGGGGGCAAGCAGCACTCGAACGTGGCGCCGCCCTCAAGCCAAGACCGCAAACCCTAAAACCCGAAAACCCTAAAGCCGAAAATCCCTAAAACCGTCCCAAAAGCCTGACTTCCTAAAACCCTGAATTTCTAAGCCCTAAAACCCTAAAGCCCTAAAACCCTAAAGCCCTAAAACCCTGAATTTCTAAGCCCTAAAACCCTAAAGCCCTAAAGCCCCAAGCGTTTGGGCTTTAGGGTTTTGGTGTTTATGGTTGAGGCTTCCAGGCCGGCCATGGCTGTCCCGTTGCCTCGTCTGCCTGGTCAGCTCGCTAAATTTACGTTCGTTTCTGGGTTTGGGGTTTGGGGTTTGGGGTTTGGGGTTTAGGGTTTAGGGTTTAGGGTTTAGGGTTTAGGGTTTAGGGTTTAGGGTTTACGGTACCGTACGGATCTTCGTGCCAAAAAGGGACCATTGTCCAGAGAGCTGCCCACTTGGTGTTGCCACATCTGTGAGCCCCAAACCCGAAACCCAAAACCCTGAACCCAGTTCAAAAAAAACAGCCCTGAAACCCCACACCCTAAACCCTAAGCCCTGGACCCTAGACCCCAGACCCTAAACCCTAAACCCTAAACCCTAAGCCCTAAGCCCTAAACCCTAAACCCTAAACCCTAACCCCTAAACCCCCAAGGTGATCTCTGACCTGCTCATGGCCTACGATCGGGGCAGCTTGCTTCACGACGTTCAGCAGCGCCTGAAGATGGGCCACTTGGTAGCCCAGTGGTTTAGGATTTGGGGGTATAGGGTTTAGGGTTCATGGTTCAGGGTTTGCAGTTGAGGCCTGTGGGTTCCCTTATAAAAGCACCCAAAAAAGGGTGCCCCCTTATTATAACATGGTTACTGGGCTTACCAAGGCAAAGAGGGCTACGCGGAGTTCAAGGACAGCGCAGGAGCCCTGGAATTACAGGGGTGCCCCTGCATGTCTGTGAGCGCATAGGGTTTAGAGTTTGGGCTGTAGGGTTCAGGGTTTAGGGTTTCGGCGGTTTAGGGTTTAGTGTTTAGGGCTTAGAGTTTAGGGCAGGGTTTAGGGTTGGTAGTATAGGGTTGAGGGTTTAGAGTTCAGGGTTGCTTCGCAGCAGCAACTTCGACCTTGAAAGGTTTCCGATCTCATGGACCTGATCGCAGGTGGCTACGAAACCCACGAGCAGGCACAGCGAAACTGCAACGTATAACTGTATAATCCCAAACATACAGAATATACGTACAACATATAAAAATACAGTACATAATACATATATATATATATATGGCCCATATATGGCACATATAGATATTTACACATACATGCATGCATGCATACATACATACAGACATATAGACATACATCCATACATATATATATAGCATACTTTGAGATACACAACCATATTATATACTCTGTAGGTAGAATGCGTGAAGGCGTAGCCGTAGTGGTGCAGGCGATGCGGATGCTGCAGAAGCTCAAGGCTTGCCGAGAATTCAGAGTTTTACAGCTCATGATGCCATGCCGGCTTGAAGGCCACGTGGGTTTGGGGTTTAGGGTTTAGGGTTTAGGGTTTAGGTTATTGGGGTCCTTGTGTAAGGGGATCCTACCATTTGGGAGTCTAGATCAGGGGTCCCTGATTATCGTAAACCCCGATCTGGGTAGCTATAAATAGGGTGTAGGGTTTAGGTTTGTAGCAAGTACCCTAAACCCTAAACCCTAAACCCTACACCCTAAACCCTAAACCCTAAACCCTAAACCCTTTTTTCCCCTTCCTATAACTACCCGTGAGCCTCCAAGCAGAGCATCAGCATCAACTGGTGGTAGTCCCGGTGTCTGGGCCAGACCCCAGAAGGTTTGGGGGGTTTAGGGTTTAGGGTTTAGGGTTTAGGGTTTAGGGTTTAGGGTTTAGGGTTTAGGGTTTGGGGTTTGGGGTTTGGGGTTTAGGGGTAGACCCGAAACCCGGACCCCCCCAATACATGTCCAGAAAACACTGCAGGCGCTCGCCGCAGGGAAGGAAGACCAAGAGGCCGCATCTGCACGTTCCTGGAACCCCATCATTCCCAGAGACTCGGGTTCAGGGTTTAGGGTTTAGTTTAGGGTTTAGGGTTTAGGGTTTAGGGTTTAGGGTTTAGGGTTTAGGATTTAGGGTTTAGGGTTTAGGGTTTGGGGTTTGGGGTTTGGGGTTTGGGGTTTAGGGTTTAGGGTTTAGGGAATACTTAGGGTACTTGGAAACAATTGATAATTCGCGGTTGCTAGAATCCCAAGGAACAGCTAACAGTTTTTTTTGCAAGGGGTCTAGTATTCCATGAGTCATATTGTGATCCCTACATTGTTACATCTCAAGTAGTTTAGTCCGAAGCATCCCGTAACCCGTAGGTGATGCTAGGATTCCCAAATATTGGAACTCAAGAAGCTTCCCGACAAATTTCAGGCAAATTCTCTACACCCTAAACCCTAGACCCTACACCCTAAACCCTAAACCCTAAACCCTTGGATCCTTTCTTGGGGCGTTCCAGGTTGCTCCTCCCGATTCTCAGAGCCTCAGCGACAAGGAGCAGGCAGCTGACGCAGAGGAGTCCGAGGCTACCCAGATAGCCCCAAGAGTCGGGGGGTTTAGGGTTTAGGGTTTAGGGTTTAGGGTTTAGGGTTTAGGGTTTAGGGTTTAGGGTTTAGGGGGTTTAGGGTTTAGGGTTTAGGGAAGATATGGGTCGGAATAACCCTTATGGTCCCGATTAAGTATGCGATAACAACCCCCCAAAACCCTATTGAAATTATGAAGGCCCCTATATTACCCCTTTCATTCAGGAACATACCGCTTCTAGCAGCAAGGATCCCCGTACCTTGTTAAGGTATATGATATTCCTGAAGCAAGGGGTCTTGGACTCTTTGGTTACCAACGCCCCAAAGCCCCCAAACCCCCCCCAACCCCCAACCCTAAACCCTAAACCCTAAACCCTACACCCTGGAATCTGCCGCGGCTACAGCTTAAGGTTTTGGGGCTCCTCCACCAGGCCCAAGCGTAGGTCCTAAACCTAAACGGGGGTTTTCGAAATTCGGGGTACCCTGACTGAGGTCCTCATTCTAGGGAATCCGAATATTTGGGGTCTACAGTAGGGGTCCCATTTGTTTTTTGGTAAACCCTAAACCCGAAACCCGAAACCCTAAACCCTAAACCCTAAACCGTTTAAACCCTAAACTCACAAAACCTGCACCCTTAGCCAGTGGAGGTGGAGCAAGCCACGCCAGAGGCGACGCCGGAAGCGCCGGCGGCTGAGCCGGGCAGATGGCGAAGACGACACCGCGGAAAATCTGTGGGCTTCAGGATGTTTAAAGGCTTTGGGTTTTTAGGGTTTTTAGGGTGTTTAGGGTTTTTAGAGTTTTTAGGGTTTTTGAGGTTTTTAGGGCTTTTAGGGTTTGGGGTTTAGGGTTTAGGGTGCCCGTCATTTAAATTTCGACGAAGGCCCTAAACCCTAAGCCCCAAACCCAAACTGAACCCAAGAGAGCCCACCTGCAGCATGGTGAGAAGGGCTGGCGGCTACTTCATGGGTTCTCGTCTCTAGAGAGCCCAATGCCCCTCCATGAAGGGGTTGAGGGCCCAGCCCCTTAGTCGAGGAAAAGACCTTGTTTCAGAATAAGAGAACGACATCCACTCTGCAGGTTGCTACCATTTGCTTAAGAACTTCAAGAACTTAAGGACCCCCCAAAAACAAACATGTTCTTCCTTATAAGTGGTAATCTATAGGGATCATTATCCTTTGTTTTTTGCGGGGGTTCTTAAGCAACCTCCAGTGTAGGGGATGTGTAGGGTACACCGGCAAGGGTTTGTGACCAGCTGTTTCGAGGGGGCTACGGCATCGTAAATGCGGAGCCGCAAGTCCTAAAACTGCTGCATGTGCTGAAGAAGTCCTAAACCCTAAACCCTAAACCCTAAACCCTAAACCCTAAACCCTAAACCCTAAACCCTAAACCCGCCGAATTTGGGGTACTTTGCTGTGGTAGCTGCTCCCGGTAGCTGTAACCTGGAAGTCGAAACCTCTGGCGTTTGAGTGCAAAAAGCAAGCCGCTACGGCTACAGCAAGACAACCTTCACCACGGCACCACGTCTCCCGGAGAGTGACATGCATGTCTTCCGAACAGGCTGGGATTTTCGGGCTTAGTGTTCGCGGCTCATGGGGCTATTCAGGCTTATAGGTCTTTAGACCAACCCTGAACCCTAAACTCTAAACCCTAAACCCTAAACCCTAAACCCTAAACCCAGTGTAGAGCATATAAAGGCCTCAAAGTCTCCGAGAACCCCCCGTAGCCACTTGCGCCGCAGCCCCGGAGCCATGTCCGACCCAGAGCCGCTGAAGGGCGCCGATGCCCTGGCTTTGTTGTGTAACTACGAAATGTGCCATAGAATTGTGGTAGGGTTTAGGGTTTAGGGTTTAGGGTTTAGGGTTTAGGGTTTAGGGTTTAGGGTTTAGGGTTTAGGGTTTAGGGTTTAGGGTTTAGGGTTTAGGGTTTAGGGTTTAGGGTTTATCGTTTAGGGGTATACCATATATTGCATTTTAAGTTGGGTTGTGAAACTAAACTCCGCTCCTGGCCCGGTCTCCTCCTCACCCATCACCCATTGGCCAAAAAAACCCTAAACCCTAAACCCTAAACCCTAAACCCTAAACCCTAAACCCTAAACCCTAAACCCTAAACCCTAAACCCTAAACCCTAAACCCTAAGCTCAAACCCTAAACGCTAAACCCTGAACCCTAAACCCTAACCCTAAACCCTAACCCTAAGCCCTAAACCCTAAACCCTGACCCCTAAACCCCAAGTGACTCTGAGGTGAGCCTCATTGAGAACGGATGGTTCATAGAGAAGAACGCGCAATGGTGGGCCCTCAGAGGGGTCGCACACCTCATTTAGGGTTTAGGGTTTAGGGTTTAGGGTTTAGGGTTTAGGGTTTAGGGTTTAGGGTTTAGGGTTTAGGGTTTAGGGTTTAACCTTGGGATGCCCCCCCCTACACGAACAGTCCTTGATAGGGAGCATAGTACCCCCTATTATGGTTCCTATGAGTAGAAGTAGAGGGGAACATCCCAACCTAACTCCCAAAGCTTAGGGTTTAGGGTTTAGGGTTTAGGGTTTGGGGTTTGGGGTTTAGGGTTTGGGGTTTAGGAGCACATCTCATTGCATGTTGACTCCCTGACGCTGGCAGCAGGCCCGGCCAGGCCAACGCGTTGGAGGCCACGTTCACTGTTTCCGCTTGTTTCGTTGGGATGTTCCCCCCTTCTACTACCAGCTCCTGAATAGGGATTATAGTACACCCCCTATTATATTTCCTATCAAAGAGCTGTTAGTATAAGGGGGAGCATCCCAAGTGTTTCGTCTTTTCTTGAGGGCGGGGGTATCATGGAGTGGTCAGACCACTTCGTCCCCGGAAGTGCCGCGTAGCGCCACGTGGAGCCCTAAACCCTAAACCCCAGACCCTGAACCCTAAACCCTAAACCCCAAACCCCAAACCCCAAACCTCTGAGGTGAAAGAGGTGCTTATGCACAAGAAGACCCAGTTCCAGGACTTGTTGGTGTTCGCGCCTTGGCTGGTACCAAGCTCTCCGAGCAGCCCCGTTGTTGTTTCATGGGTTTCCCTACCACCCCCCTCCACCCACCTCTACAGGGTTTAGGGTTTAGGGTTTAGGCGGTTTTGGGTTTAGGGCTACCCCCCCCCCGCCCCCCCCCGGTTCCCCATTTAAATAACCTCAATTAGGCTTAATTATCTCTAAAGAGACTTCTTAGTATAAGGGGGGTAGTAGGGGAAACCATGATTGTTCTTGACTCTCTTACAGGAGCTTAAGCTACGTTCACACAAGAGGCATACTTTGGGATGTTCCCCTTTATACTGACAGTCCTTAATAGGGAGTATGATAGGAGGTACTTGATCCCGATTAAGGAATGTTAGTATAAGGGGGAACATCCCAAGCGATACAGCCAATTTATAAAGTAGAGTCGATAAGGCAACTTGGTTTAAGTTCCCTAGCGTGAACCTAGTTTGTTTAGGGTTCAGGGTTCAGGGTTCAGGGTTCAGGGTTTAGGGTTTAGGGTTTAGGGTTTAGGGTTTAGGGTTTAGGGTTAGGGTTTAGGGTTTAGGGTTTTTGTGATGGGCTCATGGCAGTGGCAGAATGCCAGGCTTCTGCGAAGCACGGCAACGTGATCGTGCTGGCGGGATGCTCATTGCAACTGACAGTGTTCACTTGAAGCAGGGTTTGTATTCCTGTTTTTGGTGAGTGTATATGAGGTTCCTTTTTTATATTGGTGAGTGTATATACCGGGTGTCCTTTTGGGGGTACAAGAAATATAAACCCTACTTCACATCCTCACACTGCCACGACACGCCCGCATGTGAGGCAGTCTCTAGATGACGGGCCCTTTTGGGTTTAGGGTTTAGGGTTTAGGGTTTAGGGTTGAGGGTTTAGGGTTTAGGGTTTTAGGGTGTAGGGTTTAGGGTTGGGATACCCTTCTTGTAGGGCCCTTCGTCTTATCATAGCCCCAAAAGGGACCCATACATCCCGAGAGCTACCCCTAAACCGTAAACCCTAAACCCTAAACCCTAAACCCGAAACCCGAAACCCGAAACCCTAAACCCTAAACCCTAAACCCTAAACCCTAAGTGGCTGCAGGACGGGGTCATACAAATCACAGAGCGGGATGACTCTTGACTGCAAGCGGTGTCGCAGAGAGCCCAAAAACCCTCCCCCCCCCCCCAATAAGACAGGAAAATACGCAAACTACATGGGGGGAAGGCTCTAAATTATGGGCCTTTCTGCTGTTTGGGGTACCCTATATATAAGGCTCCATAGAATAGGATCCCCAAAAACGACCATAATGTAGAGAGCCACCCAGAAAGGGATCTTCACTTCTGGCTTAAGGTTTATTCCTCAAGTCCGGCGTATTGGGCTCCTTGGGGGTTTTCTACAACCTGACCTACCCAGAATATGGATTAGGTATGCGTCTGTAGGGGGACCCCTATGTTGAGAAATACCCATGTGGTCAGTTCTCTCAGTTATGCACCCTAAATAAGAGGAGCCGCCTTATAATAAGGACCCCAAAAAGTACCGTTTTTTAGGGCATCTCCCATGTGGACGTGCATCTCCCGCCAGCCTGAGGAAATGTCGTATCAGGAGATGCTGGCGCACCTGCCCATGTTCTCCGCCGACAAGCCAGCGCACGTGCGCCTGAGTGCCTACAACCCTAAAACCCTCAGCCCTAACCCTAAACCCTGAACCCTAAACCCTAAACCCTAAACCCCAAACCCCAAACCCCAAACCCCAGACCCCAAACCCCAAACCCTAAACCCCAAACCCCAAACCCTAAACCCTAAACCCAAACCCCGCCTTCAGGTCCTCATCATCGGAGGCGGAGATGGAGGCGTTCTTCGCGAAGTGGTAAAGCATGACACCGTGGAGAAGGCAGTTAGGGTCTTTTAGGGTTACGGGTTCCCTAAACCCTAAACCCTAAACCCTAAACCCTAAACCCTATTCCCTAAACCCTAACCGCTAAACAGCGTTTGCGTTTTCAGCTTTGGGGGGCAGGATGAGTTGGCCTTGTAGCTGGACCTAGGTAGCCCAATGCCCCTCATTTTGAGAGTGTGTTGAACTTCAAGACAATAGCAACAAGAATAGTAGTAGTAGTAGTAGTAGTAGTAGTAGTAGTAGTAGTAGTAGTAGTAGTAGTAGTAGTAGTAGTAGTAGTAGTAGTAGTAGTAGTAGTAGTAATAATAGCGATATGGTACTAATATAAGGCGCAGGGCAGGGCGTTTGCCCGCTTTTTTTTGGGGAAGTGCGTGTTGTACTCGAAAAAACACACGTTTTCGCAGGTTTCGGGTCGGGGGATTCTCGACATGAAACTTCGAAGTTCCGTGTTGAAGGTTTGGGGAGTACGGGCCAGGTTGGCGAGCATGAGCAAGCACAGCAGAGGAGAGGAAGGTCTAGTTTTCTCGGGAAAAACCGAGGTATTTATTTTTCCACTTCAGGAGTGGTTGTTTCATTTGTGTGAACATGTCTCTTTTCCTACATGTTGATTGGCGGCCCAAATTTCATTTTATTGGGGTTTCAACGGGGTTCGGGCAGAAAGTTGAGGCAGAGTAGAGGCACGGCAATTTTTCGTCTCGCTGGCACAGAGAAAGAAGTACCGAGCAGAATTGTACATTAGAGGATTGAAAGGTCTAGATTACTCGAGAAAAGCCGAGGTTTTTTGAGTTTTCCACTTCAAGAGTGGTTGTTTCATTTGTGTGAACAGGTCTCAACACGGAGCTTCGAAGTTTCATGTCGAAAATCCCCCGACCCGAAACCTGCGAAAACGTGCGTTTTTTCGAGTACAACACGCACTTCCCCAAAAAAGGGCGGGCAAACGCCCTGCCCTGCGCCTAATATAAGCACTACCTGGAACTATATCAGTATTAGTGCCAAAAGCGAATATTGGTAGCAGCAATGGTAATGATGATGGTTAAGGACCCCTTAACCCTAAACCCTAAAACTTGATTCGGATGCAGCGCCGAAACCCGACACCCTAAACCCTAAACCCCGGTGCGCGCCTGAATCTGGGGGAGAAGCAATAGGGTTTTGAGTTTGGGGTTTAGGGTTTCGGGTGTCAGGGCTCAGGTTTAGGCTGTTGGGGCGTAGGGTTTATAGCTTTGACATAATTTCCATGGCCGGGTTGCTGTTCAGGAAGTCGACTTAAGGCACACTAACGAAGAGTTGTGCTGGTTTAGGTTTTAGGGTTGAGAGTAATTACTACGGTTGCCTTTTCATCAGAACATTTTTTATGGTTCCGACCCTGACCCCAAAGCCTAAACCCCAGGTGACATGGTGTGAGATTGATGGCGATGTAGTTGAAGCTGCCAAGAAGTACATGCCCAATGTGGCCATAGCTGTGAGCACCGCGGCTTGCACGCAGGGTTTCCGGTTGAGGGCTTGTTTCGCAAAACCTGATCGCTCCTCCAAACACTCGAAACCCCTAAACCCTAAACTCTAAACCCTAAACCCTCAACCCTAATCCTAAACCCTAAACCGAAGAAAATCCCCAACCGCCCTTAAGCCGACTGCCAAGCTCAGGCGACTCTAAACCCAAACCCCCCAAAACCCCAACCCCAAAAATCTCTGAAACCCGTAACCCTAAACCTCAACACCCAAAAAAACCCAAACCCCAAAAAACTCAAAAAACCCTAAACTCCTCAAGCCCAAATCCCAAACCCCAAGCACCCTAAAAACCTTAAGCTCCAAACCCTGAACCCCAAACCCTAAACCCTAAACCCCAGACCCTAAACCCTGACCCTAAACCCTAGCAAATCCCCAACCCCGCTTAAGCCGACTGCCAAGCACAGGCGAGCCTAAACCCCTGAAACCAGCAAACCCGAAAACCCAAAACCCTAAACCCTAGACCCCTAAAGCCCAAAACCCTAAGCCCTAGACCCCTAGAACCCTGAACTGTAATCCCTAATCCCTAAACACTAAACCCCAACACCCAAAAAGTCCCAAAACCCTTCAAAAAAAACTAAAACTCCTAAAGCCCCAAATCCCAAACCCTAACCACCCCAAAAGCCTAAACCCTAAACCCTAAACCCTAAACCCTAAACCCTAAACCCTAAACCCTAAACCCTAAACCCTAAACCCTAAACCCTAAAAGCCCTTCAGGCAATCCGAAGGTGGACCTCAGAGTCGGCGATGGTGCCGCACCTCTGGACTCGGGCGGGTTTTGAATTTCGAGGTTGAGGGTTTAGGGTTTAGGGTTGAGAGTTTAGGATTTCGGGGTTTAGGGTTTAGGGTTATATAGGGTTTAGGGTTTAGGGTTTTAGGGTTTAGGGTTTAGGGGTTTAGGGTTTAGGGGTTTAGGGTTTAGGGTTTAGGGTTTAGGGTTTAGGGTTTAGGGTTTAATTGACTTGGTAAGTCTACCTAGCATCCCTGAGAAACCAAAAATACTCCTCCCATATCCCAACAAGTGGACAAGAATTCGGGGCTTAGGGCCTTAGGGCTCTGAATTTTGGGGTTGAGCGTTTGGAGTCTGGGGCTTCGGGTATGGGGTTTAGGGTTATGACGGGTTCTGTGACAAGCACATACGTTGTACTCTGGGATGGTACCGAGTCGGCTCATGTGCCCTTGCAGCAGGCGCCTGAACTTTGGGCAATTTTGTCCCCCTATGCTCCATATACACCCATGAGAAGCTACTCAAGTAAACCCGCTCCAAGTACAATCAGCCCCCCAAGACCCCTGTGTTCAGATAAGTGCTTCCTGCACCCTATATAGCTCCTTCATGGGTTCTATAAAGTAGCCATGGCCCCAATTCCTTACCAAGAGCCAGAAGAAGTCTCGAGGGTAAACTTACTGTTGGATAGGTGAGTAGGGATGGAAGGAATGAGGTAATGCTTACCCTAAAACTTGAAGCCCCAAATCCTATTCCTACATTCCCCACAAACCAACAGCTACGACCCAGAGTCCCTCGACCCCAAACCTTAAACCCTAAAGCCCTAAACCCTAAACCCCAATCTCTAAACCCTAAACCCTAAACCCTAAACCCTAAACCCTAAACCCTAAACCCTAAACCCTAAACCCTAAACCCTAAACCCTAAACCCTAAACCCAATTGTGTTCGGTTCCCGTCCAAGCCCTGTTAACCAAAGCTGTTACGCGTTGCTCTCAGGTTGCTCAGGAACCCGAAGCTCCAAACGCTAAGCCTCTAATAAGGGCTTAGGGTTTAGGGTTTAGGGTTTAGGGTTTAGGGTTTAGGGTTTAAGGTAGCCCCGAAACTCTAAGCCCTAAGCCCTAAGCCCTAAGCCCTCGACTTGTCTGCTGCTTCGAGGCGTTGCCTTCGCTGAGTCCTCCAAGGTGCGCGCGCCAGCCAGATCACAGCAGGAGGTTTAGGGTTTAGGGTTTAGGGTTCAGGGTTCAGACCCTGAGGGTGTAGGGTTTCGGGTTTCGGGTTTCGGATGAGGGTTTTTCGTTCCGGGTTCAGGGTTTGGGCTTGGACGAGGTGCGGGTTGTTTGGTTTGGCTGGGTTGTTGCTTGTGACCGGGCACCGGGATGTGATGGCGCCCTTCACCCTAAACCTAAACCCTCAACCCTTAATCCTAAATCCTAAAACTCTAAAACCCTAAACCTTCAACCCTCAACCCCTAAACCCTAAACCCTCAACCCCTCTACCCTGAACACTAAAGCCAGAACCCTGGACTCATAGGCGCTTGCCAGAAATGCTGCCAAAGCTGCTAAGACAATCCTAAACCCTACACCCTAAACCCTAAACCCTAAACCCTAAACCCTAAACCCTAAACCCCAAACCCTAAACCCTAAACCCTAAACCCTAAACCCATGAATTCCGCCCGGCGCCCTTAGGACAACAGCTTCGACGTTATCATCGTGGACTCGTCTGATCCCGTCGGCCCAGCCGAGAAGCTGCTCTTTGCTTGCAGTGGTGATTTAGGGTTTAGGGTTTAGGATTTAGGGTTTAGGGCTAGGGTTTAGGGTTTAGGGTTTAGGGTTTAGGGCTTAGGTTTTTGGGCTTAGGGTTTAGGGCTTAGGTTTTAGGGCTTAGGGTTTAGGGCTTAGGGCTTAGGATTTAGGGTTCAGGGCTTAGGCTCCAAAGGTTTAGGCTTTCAAGGTTTAAGGTTGAGGGTTCAGGGTTTGGAGTTTCAGGTTTACGGCTTAAGGCCCCCAAATGCCAGACCTCCTTTCAAAGGGGTGCCACCACTGCAAGACTCCAAAGTAGTAAGGAATCTTGCGGGAGGAGTGCCGTGCCCTCTTTTGAATTTCGAAGGGTTTGGGCACACCCTGAACCTGAACCCTAAACCCTAAACCCTAAACCCTAAACCCTAAACCCTAAACCCTAAACCCTAAACCCTAAACCCTAGCCCTAAACCCTAAACTTTAAACCCTAAACCCTTGGGGTCGTTGCTGAGGTTCTCCAAGGAGTTTTACGTGCCGCTCAGCCGCGCTGCGCAGGGGAGGCTGAAATTCCTAGGGGACAGTTTGGGGTTCAGGGTTCAGGGTTTAGGGCCTGAAGCCTTCAACCAGGGAGGGTTCAGATTCAGGTTTAGGGTTTGGGATTTAGGGTTTAGGGTTCAGGGTTTAGGGTTGCATGTTCAGGGTTTGGGGTTTAGGTTTTGGCACGTGCATCTGGGGCTGTTTAAGGACATTGGTGGGTGTCTGATTGAGGTGTGCTTGTGGGGATGCTACTTGTAGCAATGTTTGAATCGAGAGCTGTTCCAACGTTGCGGCGCTTTGTTGAGCTTAGATTAGATCCAAGGGAAACGAGGAGTTCCAAATACCTAACCTGCAGAATGCGAACACCCTAAATCAGGGTTGTTATACAGTACCACAAGGTACTAGATCCTAAGCCACAAGCCCCAAACCCTTAACTTCTTTCGGCCTTGGCATCTTCGGACAGGGTTGTAACCTGCAAGCGCTCAGAACCTAGGCTGTAGATAAACCCATAGTTTTTTTTTTTGCCGCTGTTACTTAACCCTGCAAGCCCCCTAATTCAAGATCTACTCTAAACCTCCAACGCCCCTTGAACCCTAAAAGCCCAAAAACCTAAACCCTAAACTCCTAAACTCGCAGCCCTCAAGCGCCAACCCCCCCCCCCCCCCCCCCCCCCCCCCCCCCCCCCCCCCCCGCGTAACCTCTGTAGGGGTTTAGGCTTCAGGTTTAGGGTTTAGGGTTTCGGGTTTGGGGTTTAGGGCTTAGGGTTTAGGCTCTCTTGGTGTTGCCCAAATCTCCTAAAGCCTTAAACCTTAAACCCTGAACCCTAACCCCTAAACACCTTAAACCCTAAACCCTAAACCCTAAACCCTAAACCCTAAACCCTAAACCCCAAACCCTAAACCCTAAACCCTAAACCCTAAACCCTAAACCCTAAACCCTAAACCCTAAACCCTAAACCCTAAACCCTAAACCCTAAACCCTTCCTCTGGGGTAGCTGGTGGAGAAGTTGGTGAGGTGGTGGGTGGAAAACCTGGAGAAGTGGCCTCTTTGCGAACCACGATGGGCGGTGAAGGAGGTGGTGAAAACCATGGGGAGGATCGTGCAGATGAAGATTGTCGACTGGGGGGCGGTGATGGAAAGGGTGATGGCAAGAGTGGTCGTGCTCGTGATCGTGTCCTACCTGTTCGACTGGGGGTGGACTATGAATGTGAAGGGGGAGAAGAGGAGGAGGAGTAGGGAAGATGTTTCACAATACGGACCGGACAGCATTATTGCTGCACGCCAGTGATTCCGGTTTAAAAAAAAACCCTAAACTCTAAACCCTAAACCCTAAACCCTAAACCCTAAACCCTAAACCCTAAACCCTAAACCCTAAACCCTAAACCCTAAACCCTAAACCCTAAACCCCCCTAAACCCTAGCCCTAAACCCTAAACCCTAAAGCCCAACCTAGGAACGTGCATCGCATCCTCAAGCCCGGCGGCGTCGTCTGCTCGCAGGGAGAGTGCCTGTGGCTGAATGAGGCCCGGTGGGTTTAGGGTTTAGGGTTTAGGGTTTAGGGTTTAGGGTTTGGGGTTTAGGGCTTGGGGTTTGGGGCTTGGGGTTCAGGGTTTCGGGTTCAGGGTTTAGGGTTTAAAGTTTGAGGCTTCATGTGGGGGAGGTTTGGCGGCAGTGTTTGGAGTTGAGATTCAAGTTGCAGGGTTGAGGCTTCGGGGTGTAGAGCAGTGACCATATGCGGAGAACAGACTATATATGTTAAGAGCTTATGGCGCTTGCGTCATGAGTTCCGTTTTCTTGGTGACTGCTTGCAATGAACTTGGCAGGGAGGGGCGAGAGTGTTGAGAACTCGGGGAGTATACCCCAAACCCTAAGCCCCAAACCCGAAACTCCTAAACCCTCAACCCGAAACACTGAACCCTAAGCCCTACCAAAAGGTTCCGGAAGCTGCGAAATCGAGTTTCGGCGTGTGATCGTCTTGTTTGCACCCTTCTACAACCTTCGAGTGGTTCGGGTCTAGGTTTTAGGGTTTAGGGTTTAGGGTTTAGGGTCCTTAGGGTTTAGGGCTTAGGGCTTAGGGTTTAGGGTTTAGGGTTTAGGGTTTAGGGTTTAGGGTTTAGGGTTTAGGGTTTAGGGTTAGTGCCGGTACTTTGGGTCTTGGGTCGAGACTTGCTGGCGCCAGGACCTCATCGAAGCCATGGTGACGGACTACGGCGTCAGGGCCTCGTGGGGTTGAGGGTTTGGGGTTTAGGGTTTAGGGTTTAGGATTTGTGGTTTAGGATTTGGGGTTTAGGGTTTCTGGGGTTTAGGGTTTAGGGTTTAGGATTTGGGGTTCAGGGTTTGGGGTTTAGGGTTTACGGTTTAGGGTGTATCAGTCTACGTGCGCCGGGAGTGCGCCTTTTTTAGATGATTCAGGGTCCCACTCCTGATCGCGCGCTTGCATGGCTTCATAGCCGCACCCGAACTATCCCTTTTTACCCTGAAAAATTGCAGGGGCGTTCCAAGGCAGGGGATGGGGGGAAGGTGTCAGGTATTGGTCCCCCTGAACCCTACACCCTAAACCCTAAACCCCAAACCCCAAACCCCAAACCCTGTAGGGGGGTGGGGGGGGGGCTAGGGGTTTAGGGTTTAGCGTTTAGGGAGCTTAGGACCCAGAGCAGGTTTTTGTTCACTTTTTCCAGGGATTTAGGTTGCCTTGTAAGCCCCTTTAAACTAAAAAGGGCAGAGCCCTAACCCTAAAGCCTCAAGCCCCTTCACTTGCACAAGCAGAGTAGCACGGGCACCATCAGCCGTTTATCACCACCACCACCACCTCCGCCATCACCACCGCCACCATCAGCGTGACCCTAAACCCTAAACCCTAAACCCTAAACCCTAAACCCTAAACCCTAAACCCTAAACCCTAAACCGCACTGAGCCACTAAGCACCAAGCCACCCTGAGCCCTAAGCCGAATGAGGCGTGCTTTGCAAGTGCTGAGTACGCCAGCATCCAGGCGGGAGGATGTGATGCAAAAGATACTAACCCCCATACCCTTTAGTAGGAAGAATATCCTATTTTGTCGTAGTAAAGGGCTTTAGAGGTTTGTGGCTGTAGTTTTTTGTTTTTGAATGGCAGTTTAGGGCTTTTGGGCTTTTAAAGTTTTCGGTTTTTTAGGGTTTGTAAAGGGTTCTTTAGGTTTTTTGTGTTTGGATGCGGGTTGTAGGGTTTAGGGTGGTTTTTAAGGGTTCTGGTGTAAAAATGTTTAAGGCCTAGTTGAAGCCCTGTTTTTTCGGGTTTTAGGATTGAGAAGGTTTTAGGATTGAGGATTGAAGGTCTAGAGTTTTAGGGTTGGAGGTTTCTTAGGGCTTAGGATTTGACGCCTGACGGGTTTGGGTTTCAGGGTTCAGGGTTTCCGTCAAGAGCTTCTTTAGAGTTTAGACAAGGTTAGGGGTTTGAGGTGTATGGGTTGCCCAGAGAGCCCAAAAACCCCTTAGTTACGGAATAGGCCTCAAGCTATGTCGGGGGGATGCTTTGTAAGGAATATACCTTAAATTACAAAGGGCTCCTGATCTATGGCATATTCCTGAATGACGACTAGTTGCTTAAGAACCCCCAAAAAACAAAAATATGTTTCCCTCTGAAGGGTAATATAGGGATCAATTTTTTACCTTTTCTTTTGGGGTGTTTAAGCAAATTGTAGAATTGCGGTGGTTTAAGAGGGCTCTTTTGGGTAGCTCAAGCTTGCCACCCCTGCCTTACTTTTGGGTGCCGGAAGAACTGCTGCCATTATTCCCTTATACTTCCTATATAATAATACTATAATAATAACCCCCAACTATATAATTATACTAAAATAGTCACCCCCAAAGCCCTGCTCTAAATTTTTGAAACCGCTACATCTTGCCTGCAGGTGCCCACCTACCCCTCGGGTCAGATTGGGGCCTTCGTGGCGCGGAAAGGAGGCGCAGCAGGCGGCCGGCACAGTGCACGCAAGTCGCTCTGTTCTATGCCCGAGGGGGTGTTGAACCCTAACAGCCTAAAGAACCCTCAAGAAGCCTAAAGTACCCTAAAGTACCCTAAAGATACCCTAAAGTACCCTAAAGTACCCTAAAGTACCCTAAAGCAATCCTAAAGTGATCCTAAAGTAATCCTAAGGTTACCCTAAAGAGCCCTAAAGAAGCTTAAAGAACTTGCAACCCTTTAAAACCCTGAACCCAGAACCCTATTCTTACTTCCGGGGGAAATTGAGTTCATGGGGAGGACTGGCATCTTGTCGGTGTCCGAGACGCGAGCCGCACAGTGCTCAGCGAACAGGGCTCTAAGATGCCCTGCAGGCGGAGATTTAGAGTTTAGGGTGGTAGGGCTTAGGGTTTGAGGGTTTAGGCTTGAGGTGTTAGCTACGGAAAATATGCCTCAAATCATAAGTTAGGTGTTAGCCCAGGAGAATATGCCTCAAATCATATAAGAAGCCCCATATGCTTAAAGGTATATTTCTTAATTCGAGGGTATCTGGGCCTAAGCCCTAAACCCTTATGGCCCTGGGCACCTTAGGAACCCTAAAGGGACCATATGAGGGATCTCGGGGCTGTATAAGGTACATGGGCGCTTCCAAAAAAGCGGCGAGGTTCCTCTAGGAAGGATTGCAGTAACCCCTAAACTCTCAACCCTAAACCCTAAACCCTAAACCTCAAACTTGTGGTGCCCCTTTCTTGGGAAATACCCACACATGTAGGGGCTGTAGGGGCGTAGGAGAGAGCCCCCTCACCAAGAGCCTGTGTAGGCCCTAAGGCCCTTCTTTCCGGGCCATGTTAGCCTCCGCCAGATGGTGGTTTCCGAAATTGGGGTACCTTATCGGGTGTCTATTTCGGGGTCCCCTATTTTCGTAAACGCCCAGATCTTTGCAAAGTCTTAGGGCCTAGTGGGCCTCACTGGCCTTGGGCTTTAGGATTCAGGGGCATTTAGGGCCTAGTAGGCTTCGGGGCCACTGGCCTTGGGCTGTAGGATTTGGGGGCCATCGGGGCTTGGGCTTTAGGATTTAGGGGCCTAGTGGGCCTTGGGCGTTAGGGTACCGGGGCCACGCTTGAGCTGTATTTTAGAAGTGGCACAGGGAATTCTCACGATGATTGGAATGTAAGTTCCCGTGGAGACAGCCCAATACCGCTACTTGGAGGTTCATGGTACTTATTACCAATTATAGCTGTACTTATGACTGTACTTACAACTGTACTTACAGCTGTACTTATAGCCATATTAGGGCACTTAAGTGGCTTATAAGTACAGTTATAAGTACACTTATACGTGGTCGTACGAGCCTCCAAGTACGGAAGATACCTTATAGCCTCCAAGAATAGGGCTTTTTGCCACGAGCTGAGGCACATTTTCCGTAGCTCAGGACTACTGGGCTCCCAGGCCCTGAGGCACAAACCCTATAAGGCGGTGTAGGGTTTAGGGTTTAGGGTTTAGGGTTTAGGGTTTAGGGTTTAGGGTTTAGGGTTTAGGGTTTAGGGTTTAGGGTTTAGGGTTTAGGGTTTAGGGTTTAGGGTTTAGGCCTATTTAGCATCGGGTGTTCAGGCCTGCCGGAATGCCGCTTCGCTACTACACTGCCGAGATGCACGTTGCTCGCCTCAAGTGGGGGGGTGTAGGGTTTAGGGGTTACCCTAAACCCCAAACCCTAAACCCGAAACCCCAAACCCAAAACCCGAAAACCCAAACCCTAAGATACAGGGACTGAATTAAGTTGGCAAAGTCAAACTTTAGCCCGCCGAGTATCGGTCCCAGCTGGCCAATGAGGAAGCGTTGCACTTTCTCAAGCACCCATATCTATATATATATATATATATACATATATATATAGGTGATAGAAGGTACCTGACCCTCATTCCCTGAGGTAGTGGCAAAGCCTCAAGCCGTAAACCCTACTGTACGCCCAGGTTCAGGGCTCCGGCCTTTGGACTGTAAAAGCTTTATAGGGTTTAGGGTTTAGGGTTCAGGGTATAGGGTTGAGGGTTCAGGGTTTAGGGTTTAGGGTTTAGGGTTTAGGGTATAGGGTTTAGGGTTTAGGGTTTAGGGTTCAGGGTATAGGGTTCAGGGTTCAGGGTTCAGGGTTTAGGGTTTAGGGCTTCAGGCGTCTTAAAGGGGACCTCCCTCCCCCCTTCCGGCCTGAGACCCTAAACGCGAAACCCCGACTAACATAGGGGTCGGAGTATTTGCTAATTGCATTCCCTTCTGGTCCTTATATGATTATACTATCATACCCCTCCCTCCCCCGAACAAAAATAAACCTATTCTAATTATTCAGGCCCATGAGAACCCTGAACTGTAAACCCTAAACCCGAACCCTAAACCCGAACCCTAAACCCTAAACCCGAACCCTAAACCCTGAACCCTAAACCTTAAACCCGAACCCCCGAATACTTCCCGGAATGTCAGGCTGCTGCTTTCGCGCTGCCCGCCTTCTTGCGGAAGCGACTGAAGGCCGGCTTCTACTTAAGCTTTAAGTTTCAGGGGTTGAGTGTTCAGGGTTCAGGGTTTAGGGTTTAGGGGTTAGGGTTTAGGGTTTA